GTGGTTGTAACGTTAGTGGATGTCTAACCGGAAGGATTCACACATCCTCTCTTCTTTGCATTCATATCTCTGCGCACAGAGCCAAGCTCTACTAGCTTAGGAAAGGCTGGCAGAACTCCTGCAGGTTCAGCCGGGCAATGAGAGGGTCACCGGTGACTCAAGCACCCCATACGTGACCATTCGAATGCCTGCCTAGAGATGTTTCTCCAGTAGTGTTCTCCTTTTGGTAAGATAGGGAGCTTTCTCCTTCAGAGCCGTGGAAGATAGCCACGCTTCTGAGTCAGAAGTCCACAACTGTGTAATCCGTGTGTTTCGCCCTTCCCACAAGGAGATTTTTCCTGCTGGCAGCCCTAGCTGGCATTGTGGGATTTGGCCCAGCCATCTTTCTGAAGTTAACTGACCCTATAGCATCATGTGAATTTTCAAAGGCTGTTGCTAATCAGGAATTTAACACAAAACAGCAACATTCAAAGCACCACTGTGGTTCAAGAAGCGCCACTTTAGTGGCAGTCCTGTCTTAAACGCCACCAACTAACAGCAGCGTTACAAAGCATCAGCCATGACTTCACTGTGAGCCTAAAGACTGGATGCGTAAACATTAAAGATAACTTTGTGCTGTGGAAATGCTTTTAGAACAGACATAGAGAATGCAACAGCTGCCATCCAAAGCTGCTCTGCACCAAGAGATGCTGGTCTGGAAGAGCCAGAACTGGCCAGACAGCGCCAAATCCTCAGAAGAGCCCGCTGGTTGCTGCCTGATGTACTCGTCCCACGGCACATGGGCAGGCGGGAGCGCACAGTGCCGCATCTGGAGCTCCCTCTGCTCCCTGCCCTAAGCCGTGATGGCTCAAAACCAGGGGTCACAGGAAAAGTACTTGGCTAGTATGCTACACAGTTATTTAAATGCCTACCAGGTGAAAACTTCCATTTCTAAAGCAACATTTCTTGGAGCTAAGTCTACCTGCTTCAGCATCACCCTGGGTGCTTGTCAGAAATGCAAATTCCTGTGCCTGTTTGTCACCTATGTTATTATTTATCTCCCTCGCTGGCATGTAAGCCTTGGGGAGTAGAAACTGATCTGTCTACCCTGGGACCCCAGCACCCTTCGCAGTGTTTAGCACAAAGTAAGTGCTAAGTAAATATTTGTGGGATTAATTAATTCCTGGGTCTTATAACTGACCTACTGAATCAAAATCCCTAAGAGGAGGGCCAAAGACTCTTCATTTTAAAGACACACACAGGTAATTTTTATGCTCTCTAAATTTTAAGAACCATTGTTCTAAAGTAATTCAGCCAATTCTCAGATAAATGGAAAGATGAAAAGTTTTGTCTCCAGAGGCCCCCACACTAGCCTTCCGGTCAGAGAGTAAGGTAAAGGAAACATATTAATATCATCCTTGGGTCAAACTTCCACCTTCTAGTCACACACCTCCAACGAATGTTGATCTGCCACCTGCAGTGTGCCAGGCTCTGGGTTCCCAAGTGGACAAAACAGATATGGGCATGGAAGACAGAGTGCCTAGGAAAGACAGGAGCCTGCCCTGTCAGGAGCCACACCCATCACTTTCCACCCTGCAAGCAGCAAATCTGTGGACTTGATGATAGTAGTGGTCCTTAATTCACAGTTTCTCTTTCCAGTCAGCTGGGGTCCAAAAATATTAAATGGAAAATTCCACAAGTGCCCTGACTGGTTTTGCTCAGTGGTTAGATCATCGGCCGAAGGGTCTTGGGTTTGATTCCTGGTCAAGGGCACGCACCTTGGTTGCAGGCTCCATCGGTGCGGGAAGCAACTAATCGATGTGTCTCTCTCACACGGATGTTTCTCTCTCTCCCGGTGCCCGTCTTCCCTTCCCTCCACTCTCTCTAAAAAAATTAATGGAAAAACAAATCCTCAGGTAAGGATAAAAAAAGCAACAAAAATTCCAGAAGTAATTCGTAAGTTTTAAATTGTGCGTTGTTGCGAGTATCGTGGTGGAATCTCACGCTGTTCTGCTTCATGCCTTGGTCGAGGGCCTCCGCGCTGTAGTCCATAGTGCAGGCGCTCCCTACGCATTGGTCACTTGGTAGCCGTCTAGGTGATCAGACTGACTGTCTCAGTATCGCAGTGCTTGTGTTCAAGTCACCCTTATTTTACTTAATGGTCCCAACATGTAAGAGAGTGATGGCGACAATCAGATGCCAAAGAGAAGCCATAAAGGGCTTCCTTTAAGTGAAAAGTTGAGGACAGACAATCAGCTGTTTTCAGAGAGAGAGAGAGACCACATTTACTAGTCGTTTATCTCTTACTGTGCCTCACAATAAACTCTCGCATAGTTATGTATGTATAGGAAAAAACATAGTATATATAGGGTTTGGTACTATCCACTGGGGGTTGTGGATAAAGGGGGGCGGGAGTCCTGCCCCTTCCTGCGGCCCCACAGCTCACTGATCTGGAAATGGAAGCCAGGGTATGTTCATTACTGCTTTCCTGGAAGACTTGACTGGCGCATCTGATCCATGAGAGCCAGATATTATCTTAAAGGATTAATCTTCTCCTAAAAGACTCCAATCTTTTCAAATAGGTTTCCTATATGTTGGCCCTTCGAGTTTGTGCTAGAAACTGGGCATTTTATTTCTAGTTACAACCAGACTTTTACCAGCTTTCGATCTTGGGCAGTCACTTCACCTCTCTTGACCTGTTTTCTCATTTGCAAAATCAGACAATTAAACTAGAATCAGGTCTTGAGCCCCTTCCAATTCTAATGTCCCCTAATCTGTGACACCTGACTGCCTAAGTTTAACGGAACAGCCAGATGGGATTAGATGAGCAGATAGCACCTGTCAAGCTACACCTCAAACTCAGCAAGGCAGAGGTGATTGGCTTTGGTAGACTAGGTAAAATTGGGGATTTGTAAACAATTTCTGGGAATTCTCTCAATTTCTTTATACTTCAAAGGTACTACGGTAAATTTAATGTGCTTAGAACTTTATAAAGATAAATTTCCTCTGAAATGTGAACATTTTGTTTATAGCAGGGCTGGAGCGAGGTGTTTTGTCAGAGCCTGGTGTAGGAGAGGTGACAATCACTACTTTGAGGGCTGCTCCCAGGCTAAGCTGTGAAGTAAAGAGACAAATATGGGGAGTGACATGCCCTCCCCACCTTTGCATTCCCTCTGCCCCTCCTTCTGTCCCCATCACACAGAAGTTTCCCAAAGGTGGGTGCTCTGAATCAGAGTGCACCCTTTGCACCAAGTGTACATTCAATGCGCTTTGTTCCCTACCGCCCTGACTGACTAATCACTGCTAACCTGTCCATCACCATCGCCAGGTAATTGCATTTTAACTGCCTTTCTTTGGAAAACAGCTTCACATAAATCAGTGGTTCTCAATGCCTTCAGGCGTAATGTCTGCTTTATATTCCAACTATTTGCAACACCTCCTTTATTAGCTTGAAATTGTAGAAAATGTAGCTTACCTGCTCACTATATAATGCCCAAATTATGTTTTTAAATGGAGAAATGTTAGCAAAGTCATTAACAATAAAATAACATTTCAATATGCAAAAGCTTAGGCAAGATCACAGTAGGAGATGTCAAGAAGCAGCCCAATCCTTGTGCTGTATCTAGAATCACAGGGATAGCCACACATGGACAATTGAGCTAGTGACAAATACTAACACCCTGCTTACTGCTCACTATATGCTAGTAGCATCCCCCCCACCATGTATTGTTACAGTCTCCTCCTCATAATTTATTTTTCCAAATTGCCTTAAAAAAAAGAAAAAAACTAGGTCAAGAACCTTGATGTTTAAACAGGTTAGCAACAGCAAGAGAGCTCTGTTGGTTTAAAGAATATTTCACTGCCTCCAGTGCCCTGTGCCTGTCTGTCTGCCCTTTGCCAGTTTTTTCCCCAAATGTCTTAAGATAGGAATGTCGCGATCCATAATAGTCCCAACAATAAAAGCTAACATTTATTGAATGCTTCCCATATGCTAAACACTTTTTAAATAATTTTGCATTTATTAACTCATTTAATCCTCATAACTCCATAAGTAATACTATTACCACTATGTTCTAGGGGTAGTAATAATAATACACACAGGGAAATTAAGAAGCTTGACTAAGATCACACATCTAGCCACACCTCGCTTCTTGGAGAAATCAGCTCCTCCAGTTGGTTATTATATTAATGGGGTTTTATAGTAAGCAAAGCACTATCCGTATTTTTATTTTAGGAAAGAAACATTACTAGGATGAAAGGATGTTTCTTTCTCCAATTCCTGTTTGAAATTTGAGCCCATGAGTTCTTGGCCTGCTTCATGTTTTTAGCACTTAGAATGTAATTAAGTTGCTTTTTGGCTTAATATTTCTTTCAAATGCTTCAGAATGGATTTTTCACTTCTTGGTATTTTGTTTATATGTGAAATTACAGGTCCATTCATTAGAAGATTTGAAATATAAATCTTTTCCTGCACTCTCCTTCCATTACCAAATGCCTTGCTCCAAAGCAGCCTTGTTTTAACCAAATTAAGAGGATGACCTAAAAAGCAGGGGCTGCTGGGTGGCTGTTCTGACAGCACAGTGTGGTCAGGAGTCCCCAGAACCTGCCAGAAAGTGCAGGCTTGCATCGTTGAGGGAGGAAATGCATTTCTTTCTGAAAAGAGGCAAGGAGCTGTTTAAACTGATCATTATTATCAAGGGTTTAGGGTTGGACGTTTACCCTCATGTGGCGACTTGTCAAAGACAAAAAAAGTAAGTTATTTAAAGCAAATCTAGCCCGGCCGGGTGTGGCTCAGAGGTTGAGTGTTGACCTAGGATCCAGGCGATTGGGGTTCGGTTCCCGGTCAGGGCACATGCCCGGGTTGCGGGCTCCATCAGTGACTTTCTCATTATTGACGTTTCTGTCTCTCTCTCCCCCTCTCCTTTCCTGTCTCTGAAATCAATAAAGATATATTTAAAAAATAATAATTAAAAAAATAAATAAATAAATAAAGCAAATCTATAATCTATTTTTCCTTTCAGGGGGAAAATGATCCCATCTGATCTTGAAAGAAGGATCCTTGAAGCCAAACAAAAAGTAAGTTTTTGTAGGGAGCTTTATCTAGCCCATACAAGTTAAGGATACAAATTTGTATTCCTATCCAGTGGAGAACACATGTTGGTTTTATTTTTAAAAAGAGGACCCGAGCCTCAACCTCCCAGCTTTAATGAGAATGTGGAATTTTGCATCCAGTCATTACTTATTTCTCTGAGTTGTAGGCTCTGCTTTCAAAAGGTCTAAGTTGCTGAATAAATAACATACACAATAATATTGTATGAGTTTCCAAAGCATTTGTCTTCTCGTATGATGAGGTAGGTTTGGCATCAAACAGACACATTTGAGAGATCAGAAAATGGGAAATATCAGAACGCTAATGTGGCGTGTCAGTTACCGCGTGAGGTTATTTGAAAGGGGCCATTTTTCCTGCCTGTACACATACTGATAAGATTGGTTCTCCAAACGTCTTATTTTTCAGAAGCAATTTAGAACTCTTTTTAGAAGTAACAAGTTCTAAAGGCCTGCTAAAGATTCCCACAAAGCTCTGGGAGGTCATTTATACCCCTGGAGGGTTCTCAAGCTGGAGAGCGTGTTTCTAGAATTCTCATAGCTTAACTTTCACTGGATATAATCTGCAGTTCCTAGTTCAATGCTGTAACACGCTTTGATTATTAGGACCTTAGAAATAATTATTTCTATTTATATGCACTCCCCCCGCACCCCTACAAATTGGCAGCAAGGAGGTTCCGGGTGTTCTTGCACTGAACTACTTCTTGAAACATAAATGACAGATTAAGCCTTTGCTGCCACCTGCAGACTGACTGTAACATCACGTTGCACCGCGTGGAGTGACACGTTCATCCTGTTGGAGCCCTTCCTCTGCCTGCTTTCAGCAGCCACCGATCATTTCAGCCAATTTCATTTAGCCAGGGCCAGGCACCCTGGGAACTGCGAATGGGGGTAAAAGCCGTGGCTTATTGTTTAGCCCCATCCAAACCCTCTTCTCTAAGACTCCAAATACGTTGTCTGAGGATTTTCCAAATAAGAGCAATGGGCCGGTCGGAGTTCCTTCTCATTGTTCTCTTTTCTGCTTATTTATTGAGTTCAAAGGCCCTGTTATGAAAAAGGAAGACTAGAAAGTTAGCAGATGGTGGGAGGGACGGCCAGAAAAGCTCCCTAGAATATAGAAATGACTTGTGAGCACCACAGAGCTTACTCACTCTGAGGCCACTGTAGCCTCTTCTGAGGACCAGAATGTCTCACTTATCCTAAGGCAACTGGCAGGTTCCACAGAAAGGCCTGGAGAACTCCCTGGAGCACGAATATTGTTCCTACCAGGCTCCAAGTTTGCAATAGCCCTTGTGAGGGCTCCACCACTGCACATGTGCATGATGGGGGTGGGTTTCTTGTGTCTTTGCCAGCTATTTTAAAGTCTTTGAACCCGTTTTACATTACTTGGGGCCTTCTCGTTTGCATAGGGATATGTTCCTTTCCTTGTGAGTGCCACAGCTGGGACCACCGTGTATGGAGCATTTGATCCCCTCTTAGCTGTCGCTGACATTTGCAAAAAGTATAAGATCTGGATGCATGTGGATGTAAGTATCCTATAGGGCCTTCCGCTAAGATGTCCTTGCACATTTTTGTTTTCTCTCTCTTTTACTTTAGGAGCTTATTTTCAAATGGTGATAGTTCAGCTTTTAAAGACTGCAAAGACAAAACAGCACACAACTCACAAAATATACAACATTCGCTGAAAGCAATCTGAGGCTGGTTGTGCCTTAATGTTCCCTACACGATAATATTTTTATTTCTTTGATTAGAAGCTGAACTGAGCACTTAGTCCTCAGTTCATTGAGCCATAATGTCCTATGTACATACACACAGTCATACGCATGCAGAGCTTACTTCCCCACAAGAATGATTGAAAGTTTAAATAGGAACTGCATTTATATAGGAAACCCAAAGGCTAAAAAACTCAACTCCAATCCGGTATTTGTATATATTGAGCGGAAAGCAGACTTGACAACTTGCTAAGAAATACCTACCACCAAATTTCTAATTTCTTAGCTTGATCAACTAAGAAGATAAACTATATGTAAGAGTTTTGACTCCAGGCTTAGTCACACTCCATATATATATATGGAGATGTGCCCACAAAAACATTTTCAAATGAAAAACTGTCAATATTTAGAAGGACAAATTGAAGGGATTTAAATTTAGGCCAGTATTTTTCAAAGTGTGGCTCAGAGATTGGCTGCTATCTGCAAACTATTAATGATCCAGGATGAGATAAGGAGTCGGTGCCAAGTTATCACTAAGCACAATGTTTGGTAGCCACAAAGAATGTTAACATTTTCCAGTGATCTCCATCTTGATGTCCTGTTTTTAAAGATTACTATACTAATTCAAATCTTAAAACTTGAGTATAAATTTTTAAGAGCCATGTTGTAATTGCTCAACTAATTGGTACAAATCACTGCTGCTTGCTTTTTTAGTGGGGGTGGTTTCTTTGTTTTGTTTTGTTTTGTTTTTGACAGAGAAATGAGCTTATCCAACATTACACAGCAGTTAAATTGGGCTGTGAACTCGTTTCTTCCCTCTAGAATCATCCAGAATTGTCAAGAGTTTTCCTTGCAACTTGGAAGATGTTTAAAGGGTCCCCAGTCCATATTCTTGACTCTAAACTGCAGAGATAATAGGTTTTCTCATTCTGAGATGATGAGCTTCCCTAGGACTATGAGTGCTGGTGATGGGCTGTGGGAGAATCTCTCATTCAGACTGAGCAACGTGGCCCCAATGTGGCACCTTACACCATGTAAATGTGGGATGGATTCGGAGACCTTAGGAGAGCCCCCCAATTTAAACTTTGAAAATCTAATGCTACATAAAGGTCGTCAATCCCTTAAGTTGCCTGGGGTCAAGGAGACTCTCACTATTCTGAAAGACACCAAACTATAGAAATCTAGGCAATGAAAAGCCACTACCCTTTTCCTTGTATGATCTTCCTATTTTAGGCTGCTTGGGGTGGCGGATTGCTGATGTCCCAGAAACACAAGTGGAAACTGAGCGGCGTGGAGAGGTACACACATTTTTCTTGTTCACAATGTAAAGTGTGAGAGCTAAGTGTGAAAAGCAAGTTGTACCAGATTTCCAAGAACTGTTGTATACAGGTCAGCCCGTTCTGTGCAGTGCTTGTGTGCCTTGGCTTGTGTGGTCACATACTTGTAAATATTGTATGTAATCAACAAAAAGAAATCAAAGCCCATATCTAATGACCCTGGGAATGTCTCCCGAACACAGAGATTCCTGACTGAGGCCTGTGGTTCACCAGAAGAATCAGGAATGACCTTCCCGGGATCTCTGAACCAAGCACCAAAATTGTTTAAAACTTTTCTAAGGAGAACATTTATAGTTTTTGGGTTCTGTAAAGGATAATACCCACTGCATTAAGAAACCAGTAAATAATTTAGCAAAGCAAAGAAATGCCTTGTAATTTATGTTGGGTTTGGATTTAAATGGCCAGTTCACTTAAAGTGGAACATGCTTTCATTCCCATAATATTGTTTTTCTGATATAGCTCTGATGGATGCTGCAAAGCACCTTTTATTCAGAAACTAAGCAGTAAATCATTGAGAAAAAAAACTGTAAAACACAAAAGAGATAATATTTGATTAGTGTAAAGCATATTCAGATCCAAAAGACAAAGGGAAAAAAATTACCAAACACAAAACCAGCCTCGGGCAGAGGGAGCTCAGACTTCCCTGTTCTCCCATCAGGACATGGCAGGTCAACGGTGGCTGTGAGCTCTGACACTGCAGGCAACTGAGAAAGCCTGAATTCATTCCTGGCTGCCAAATCCCCAGCATGCCCTGCCAAGTAGCCAGATGCTGCCCAGGAAAAGCTTTTCACTGGCTCTGCCCCTGGACAGCTTGGCATAGTTTCTGTTCCAGGGTGAGGAGAGAGGCTGATAGCCCCTGGGAGCATCTGTCAGCACTGGTCATTCAGAGCAGCGAGGCCAGAACAAACACACAGGCTGTGCTGTGTGCCACCCAGGCGCACTCACACCCAGGGAATCTAGGAGTGAGAAAGCGGGGTGGAGTTACCGAGTCCGAGTCAGGGGCACCCTGCCTGGTTAGTGAAAGGAAGGCTGGGAGATTCAGCACAGACCAGCAGGGCCGCTCTCCCTGAGTCAGCTGCCCTTCCTCTGATGGCAGGTACCTGCCCCCATTGGAGGTGTGACTAGACGAGGACAGGCCTGCCCCCTTCCCACACTGAGCCAGCTCTAGTCTCAGCTTCTGGTCCTTCAGGGCTTCTCACAGGCCGACTTCCTTTTGTCATAAGATCCGCATACAACCTGAAGCTTCAGGAGGAGGCAATGAACTAAACAGGGAGATATAGTGAACAGCAGAGAACAGTTGAGAAGCTGCCTGTTTAGATGAGCAGAACAGAAATTAAATTCATGTGCTTTCAACAGAGGTGCCCTGTGCACAGTCCCTTCTCTTCTTTGAGTTTCTCTTTGACTGACACAAAAAGTGAGCATCTGTTATTCTACCTTTAATGCCACCTGGGACTCCAAGTGCTGAAAGCCAGGCAACATCCCACGCTGACGATTACTTGAAAGCTGCTAAATTGCCTCCCCTGAGCCTTGGAAAAATACACACCCCCACATCTTTGCACTAAAGACCGTTATTTGAAAGCAAAGCTTAGAACACTCTCAGTGGAACACAGAGTCCTCTGTGACTGCCACATGCTTGGAACTACATTGTAACAAACTCTGCTAAATGAAACAGCCAGACATGCAGTCCTGAAAATGAGGGACTGGTGGTGCTCTGCTTTGAGCAGAATCCCCTTGGCCACTCATCGACCTGAGGATCCATCTTGCTGACTTACCATCAGCAAAGGCACCTTTCTTTGGGGAGCAAGGCTGTAAGGCCCATGGGAGCCCCTGGGCGTAATAATGTGCATGGGCACAAATTTAGGAAAGAAATTGGCCGCACTTGGGATATCATGTTTTCCCGAGCATCAGGACTCACGCTAAAGTAGAGGAAATCCATAGCTGATTCTTGTCCCCAAACCCAGAGGTTCCGTCGTGGTCACAGGGATCCCAGAGTGCCACCCTCATAACAAAATGGCACAAGCTCCCAGAGCCCCGCCTGGCATCCCCTTCGAGAACCAAGCCAATCCTCAGAAAGCAGCCTTCTTCCTCCCTAGCGCTGTGCCAACGTCTAGGACTGGTGTTGCTGAGAGGGCGAGCCAGGAGCCCCGATGCTCCAGAGTCTGTTCTGTGCGCTGTAAGCTGACTTCTTTAACCCTCCCGTAGCAGGCTGCCGCTCACCTACGACATCCACTGCTGTGGTCCCCTCGCCAGGCCTTCTGGCCCAGCTGAAGGTTCCGGCACAGCTTCTGTCCAGTTACTAGTGATTATGGAACATTCTCAAATATAGACCACATGTTAGGGCACAAGGCAAGTCTCTACAAATATAAGAAGATTGAAATCATATCAAGCATCTTCTCGGATCACAGTGCCATGAAACTAGAAATCAACCACTATAAAAAAACTCAAAAATATTCAAACACATGGAGGCTAAATAGCATGTTATTAAACAATGAATGGGTTACCGAGGAGATCAAGGAAGAAATCAAACACTTCATGGAAAGTAACAAAAATGAACAGACGACAACACAAAACCTATCGGACACGGCAAAAGCAGTCCTGAGAGGAAAATTCATAGCATTACAGGCCTATCTCAAGAAACAAGAAAAAGATCTAATGAACCATCTAACACAACAACTAAAAGAATTAGAACAAGAACAGTTACCAGTCATTGCCCTCACTCCCGCTCTGAGAGCCAGGGTCTTCGAAATTCAAGTCAGTAGTTGTAGAACCTCTACCACATGCAAGCCTCACACTAGGCTCAGTGAGGGGACAAGAATGAGTGTGATATGAAGCTTGTTTTGGAGGAGCTTAGACTCTATCAGGGAAGACTGACAACCAACAGTGGATTAAAATTCAAGGCAGAGAAAGTGAAGGACCAAGAGATAGACAAGCGAGCTGTTTGGGGTGCACCAGGAAAGAATGAGTCTTCCTGATCAGGGGGTGGGCACTGGAGCTTTATCAGGCAGAAGTGGAAGAAGGACATCAAGGTGACGAGCAGGGACATGCAGGTTTGAAATGGTCCTTGGAGAAAGTTCAAATGAGTTGCTTGGAGACTGCGATGGAGCCATGGCAGCTCCTGGGAAGCTAGTGGAGTGTCCACAAGCCCTGCCCAGTGCGCCTTAGGGGAGGGCCCGCCTGCAGAGCCAAGTCAGGCTCAACCCCGAGCTGACAGTCACTCCTGGGGGAGCCACTGTTACGCACGGAGGGGATTCTATTTCTTGGATTGGGGAAAAACAAGGATGAACCCAGGAGGTGGGGAACTACAACGGCAAGGGGCGCTGTCAGGGGACAGGGGAGAAGACATCACAGGTTTGGGAGCTGGGTGCATGGGAGGAAAATGGTGCGAGGAACTGAGGCACAGAAGATCAGAGGAGAAAGACGAGGTCTGGAAGGGGGGAGGGGCAAGGGACTGAGTTCCTTTGGGGTCTGCCGAGCTTGAGGTGCAAATGAGGGCACAAGGCTGTGTCTGAAAACAGCCATAGGGGACTCAGTGCTCTCCAACTTGTGGAAAATCACAGACACCACGTGTCTGTCTCAATCCCAGGGCAGAACATTTTAAAATAAACCGGAGGCTGTTTTTTATAAATTGCCAACATTTCTACAGTAAATTAAAGCTGCGTCCTTGCGTCACTCTGCCTAGCTTTTTGCCGTCTTCATAAGGCAGCCCCTCTGAAACAGCAGGACAGTGACAGGTAGCTGTGGACCTGGGCACTTTCTAGTCTAAAAAGACGCATTGGCCGCTGCATGGAAATAAACACCTCCGGTCAGAGAAGTGGAGAACCGCTGCTTCCTTCTCCATTCGCGACATTCCTGACGCCGCTGCGTGTCCTCAGGGTGAGGTGTATAGCTGGAGAATATGATAGAAGGGCGGCGTCTGTGTACCCAGTGTCACAAAGCTCATAAATGACAGAATTGAAATCAGTAGCAAAAGCCAACCTTATTTAATGCTTATGGTGTGTCAGGCACAGTTCTAAGCACTTTACCCAAGCTACTTACTATTATTCTACTTACAAACAAGGAAATCTAGGCACAGAGAGATTAAGTAACTTGCTCGAGATCACATAGCTGGGAAGTGACAGAACCTGGGAGCAAACACAGACTGTCTGTCTCCCAAGCTGCTGCTGAGAGCCCAGATTCCTGGATTCTGGTCATGAAGTCTTTAGCCCTCTTTCCAGGGGCCGTATCCATCTGGCCATGAACTGCCTGTGCTTCTTGCCTCAATTCCAGGCCAGAAGAAGAGCTGGACTATTCACTGATTCAGATAAGATCCCCAGGCCAGTAAGTGTTCTCTCTGACTGGCCGGCTGAGCCTGCCACTCGTCAAATAAACGAACGGGATCTTTCCCAGCTTCTCATCTCTCCTCAAGGTTTTTGCAGCTCTGGGGCCAGGAGCAGAGCAAGCCCAGGTCTGTCGTTCAGCCAGTGGGGCAGCAATCCCCAGCGGCGGTCGCGATGGTGCTGCTACTTTCCTCCTCCTGAGTCTGTTTATACCAAGGTCACATTCAAATTCTCAAAAGCTGTGCACAGGGACTCACCTGCCTGATTAAGCACGGAAAGCAAGCAGTAGGAACTCAGGGAAGGACAGGGACGGCTGCTTTCCCTGGGAACTGGAGGGGGGGCCTGGAGCAGTGCAGCCGGAGTGAGGGAGAGAAGTTGAATGAAGTCCAGGGAAACTGCAAAGATAAGACTTGGTCTGGGCCTTAAAGCTTAAGTAAGGTTTAGCCGAGTGAAACAAAGGGAGGTGCCATCCCAGGAAGGGAACGTCGCATTAAGAGACCTAGGAGCAAGAGCATGAAATTTCCTGAGAACAGAAGGAGTCCGGTGTGACCGACGTGGGTACAAGAAAGTGAAAGGACACAAGATGGAACGCATAGCCTGGTGCTCGTCCACGCCGGCATCATAGCCATGCCCTGTCATTTGAATCTGGGCTGGAGGCAGAAGGAACTTGTCAACAATTTAGAAAGAGGAGAGGGCCATAAACAGAGCTAAGAGATAAGTTGGAAATTGAGAGTCAGTTAATACAGGACTGCGGTATATAGATTAAAATAATAATAATAGTTGTTATTATTAAGAGAATCTGAGTCAGGACGATGGTTTAGGCTTTTCAAATAGCATAAATCCCTGAGCTGAGAATCATGAGTACTGATGGGAGAGATTGTATTTCCCCAGTGTATTGAAACCAAATCGATTGAAAACTGCTGTCAGAGCCATAGCGTCTCTCACCTGCAGTCTGGAAGGATAACTCTGAATTCAAGAAGAAATGGAAGCAGGGGACAAGCTAGGAGCGAGTAGGAAATGACACACTTGAGAAATCTGGTAATCAGCTGAATGAGAAGAAAGAAAAACTGGGTTGGGAAATGGTCAGAATTAAGCAGTGGACTGAGCCGTGGCTCTGAGCCACAGCCACCCGTGGCAGGAGCAGGGGCAGTGGAGACGCACGAGGGCAGTTCCTTCACTTGCCCCGTGCTCTGTCCTTGGTGGCCAAAGGTGGGGCCCTGGACTGCATGATTCCGGTCACTCAAAGGGGCTCTCAGACCACCTTGGAAGCCAGATGAAGGCCTCCATGGAAAAGAGAAAAGGGTGTAGATCCACCGGTTCTTTCGCAAATTCATTGCCCTGCTGGAGTCTGAAAAACAGCACCAAGAGCCCCGAAGCTCTGCTGCCCACGCACAGGGCCTTAGAAGCTGAGCTTGCCGCGGATGCCACCTCTTAACGTGATTTGTTTCCCTAGGGCCAACTCCGTGACATGGAATCCACACAAGATGATGGGCGTCCCTTTGCAGTGCTCTGCTCTCCTGGTTAGGGAAGAGGTATGTCCTTGCTGACTGCTGGCTCAGTCCATCTGTGCGGTTTGGTAGAGTAAATGTGTGTAGCGACAGAACCAGAATGTGGGATGATTTTACAGGCGGGGACAGGGAGTTACATCCAAAAAGGGGAAGTTGTTAATGAGGATAATTGTAAGGTCCTGCTCTTATGCCCTAGTGTAGTCTTCGTTACAATTTGACTGGACAAGATAGTCATGTTTCCCGCTTGGCTAAATTGTTCTACTTATGAAAAAGCCTAGGACGTTAGGTTGTAATCTGTGGGGTCTACAATGGGTCAAGAGAAAATTACTATTCACAAAACATTAATGGGATGAAAGAGTGGAGTGTTAGGATGACGGGGGTGGTAGCCCCCACATCCTCTGGTTAAACCACACCTGGAGTGCTTTGCTTATATTGGTGCCAAATAGTCTATGGGAGCCCATCAAGCTAGAGCTTGAATAGTGGAGAACACTTGGTAAGCATGTAAGAAAGGGGGGTTGAAAGAACTAAGGATGTTTTATCCCAAAGAAAGGAAA